CTCAGATTTCAGACGGCTGCATGTTAAGGGCTACAGTATTTTTACTCTACCTGGAAAACTCAGACTTTTAATGTTTTCCTACCACCAGTTCTCAGCAAGTAAATATCAATTTCATGTGTCTTTCAACTGTATTTTGTTAGAATGTTTGATTTGAAAGATTGATGTTAGAGTTGCTGGCTTGGATTTCACAGAGAACAATCATTATATGAATTCTGGCCCATGATGAGGATAGAATTTCCAACAGGGGCCCTAAGCACAACTTCTGTCATTTTCTTCTATTTATGTGAAGTGGTGTTCTTAGCATTGGCAATTATAAAATCAAAGTATTGATCAACTCTGAAAAACGCTGAAGATGGTTTATGTCCTATAGCATCAAATATTCAGCCATGATTGAATTTTTTATGTAAAATAAAAGAGCACGCATCTCATTAGTATGCAAATCTGCTTTCATTTTTAATGCCGGGTAAAATTATACATAAAAACCATCTTAAAATAAACGTATTTATAATATATTATCAGTAAGTGTTTAACTCGTATGTGTATTTTATTACTTATATGCTTAGGGGTAGCATTAAAATCTTGGGTGTCAAAGAGTTGTGAGTGGCGCTGAAGAAGCTCTGTTCTCCCATACCACACTTCCTGCCAGTTTCATTTTCCCTTGTTTGTTCCCATTTACTAGTCTAACAGCCAATCTGTGGCAACTACCATGTGCCGACCACTGTCTTTGTTAAGATCTACCTATCTTTTAGTGTACAGCAACCCTCTGTAAGGGGGATGTACCATTTTCCCTCAATCTCCGTTGAACTCAGGACGGATGGTCAGTCCTGGAACTTGATACATGCGCCACAAGTATTTGTTGCGTTGCTTGCACGAGGATGAGACATGGCATCTTGGGAAAGTCATCTTACTGAAGTCCATGCAGTTGTAATCCAGAAGAGAACCAGACAGAGATCAGCCCCATTCCAGAAGTCATGGTTTAACAACACCTTTAACATGTTAAGAACCCGAAACTGAACCACTTTATCTGCACACTGCACTAGGAAGGGAGAAGGTGTGCCTGAGTGACAGGGTGGGTGAGGGAAAAGAACACAGAGCAGTGAAGAATTAAGTCCTAATCTTGGGCCAGTTACTTCCATTCCCTGAGCCCCGTTTTCTGCAGCATTACCACGAGGTGACTTTGTTAGTTCTCTTTGAAGCATCGTGTTAGACGTGACTTCAGAGATACCCTTTCCTGCCCACCATTCTGCTTTCTCATTACTGTTGGGGTCACGCTCCATCCTCACCTCCTCATCAAGTCTCACTGCAAGTTTCCTGGCCTCCTACTAAGCTTCTCTAAGAAGACACTGCTCTCTCTAAGTTAACCAATGGCCTTTTAGTGGCCACATTCTCTTTGTAGGTTTTATTCTTTTGACCTCAGTGGACACAGTTATGACAGTGGTAACAGGATGGGGACACACATCAGTCGCCACTGTCCACTGCCATCCAGATTTCTGGAGTCCGAGTTAGACAGCTATGAGATGCTCTACCTACAGACTTCTAGGCAGCTATTATCAACCAAGAACTATCAACCTGTGACCTATTGATGGACACGTGACTTCAATGTGCTGTGCAGACTCGTTCCCTTCACTTTCCTTCTTCCCTACAAGCCCTGTCCTGGGTGTTTCTGGACTTCCTTAAATGCAACTTGATCTTTGTTCACATTTGATTACTTTGTAATGGAAAGCAGTTATCTTATTGTTGATGCTTAAGGATCTCCCCGCAAAGCCAGCTCTGCCATCATTTGCTTTAGGATGCCTTTTGCATATAAGCCAAACAAAAAAGAAAAGCTTTCATTTTTAACTACAGGCTATTACAACTCTCCATTTCCACTGGAATTCTACTGGATATAAGAGGACCTCCTCTAGTCCTCATTGATATGTCAGGACCATCTTCCCATCTTCCCTGGAATTTTCTACAGTATCTAGGACATAGTAAATGACACATGAACACTTATTGAATGAGAATGATTGAACAGATGGGTCAGAAAGTGATATATCCTTTACTTTAAAATAAGGTAGGTTTAGAACTCAGAAAATAAGGTATCTGCTTGGAGACATTGCTCGGACAACTGTCTTATATGTACGTAGGCCCAGAATTTCATTGCTATCGGACAGTATGAGTGGTCATAATAGTAATCATGATGATAATAACTACCATTATGCAGTGCTTGCTATGCATCAAGGGAAAATTGCTTGCTTTAAGACTTCAAGAGAAAGGAACAGAGCGGAGTTTAAATACAATTAAAGATAAGAGCAGAATCAAGACAATTCTGAGTAAAAAGAGGTACTTTTTGATCTGCTATCCAAAAGTTTAACAGCTACCTAAGGCTCTGTAGAAGGCGGATTTGGAGCATTCATTGACACAAAGAGGCCAGAGCCAAAGTGAAGACTCCTCTACTCATACAGAACCTGGGCTTGGCAGTAAAGAAATCATTTTCTGGCAGTGTTTTATAGTTGCTGTCTTTAACATTATGCAATGAGTTTTCTTTCCTGATCTACCACATGGGCAACAGCGTATCCACATGTGTGTTATAGTTTAGAACTAAAAATGTCCCCTATGGATTCAGTATTGAAGGTTCAGTGCCAGTGCAACAATGTTTATGGCTGAGGTCACAGAGAGATGGCAACTTTGTCAGCGGGTTGATCTGCTGATAAGGTCATAGATACTCAGAAGTGGAGCCAGGTTTGAGGAAGTAAGGGTCTGGGGAAACATTTGTTATTCTTCCCCTCAGTGTGAGCAAATATCTGGGAAGAAGCAACTTCAGTGGGGGAAAGTTTATTCTAGTTAACAGTTTGAGGGTGCAGTCAGCCTATCATGATGGAGAAATTATGAGAACAGAAACCAAAGCAGTTGATCACGTTATCAGGAAGCCAGATAAACCCTATTATTTAGCTTGCCCTTCCCTTTTGATTTAGTATGGAATTCTGACTCATGAAATACTTGCTGATGCCTACTCTAGCATGGGTCTTTACCTCAGTTAGCCTAATATAGAGACTCCCTCACAGATACGTCCAGATTCTAGACCCTGCCTAATTCACAGCCGGTATTGACCACCATGAAGGGCAGGATTTTGAAGGGCCTGGTCCTCTCTGCTTCCTGCTGTCACTAGAAGAGTAGCTTTGCCCCCAAACATTTCTCACATCATGATGTAGAGCCCAGGAGCAGCTTGGCTGAGTGGCCACGGCACATTCTGAGACCTAGAAAACCGCATACAAACAACGAGTTCTGCTTTTGGGTTGTTTGTCTCGTGGATTTTTGTCACAGATAAAGGAATCTGAACAATACAGAGTCTTTGCAAAATATGGGTAAAATAAACTTTAGTGACAAATACTCTGGGTATGATGCGTTCTGGTTGTATAGTGTTCTCGGGTGTCAACAGTGCACATTGATATATCATTGAAAAAAAGACTACACTAAAAGAGAAATCTATTTCTGGGGGTTAATTCTGCTTGTGGGTTTGGTATAATCTCTTATTTTACAATGTCCCACATTTATTCCCATGGAACCAGCACCGGAGCACACCAGCTTGGGAAGGTCTGGGGAATACAGTCTTCATGTGTTGCTGTTCTATCGTACATATGCAAAGAGGATTGCTACGAAGCCCTTCTGACTGGGGGAAAGAAAGATTGACTATGCTTTAGCCTAGAATAGACTCTAGAATAGCATTATTATTTACATGATAAAATTCAACCCTATGAGAAGACTGGAGAGAAAAAGGCCAACTCTTAATCAATCCTTGGAATTAGCAATTTGCTTATGATGGCCGCATCACACAGTCATAGGAATTTATATTTTCATTTTGTCTTAACGCAAAACTTGACCATCTTTCTTTAATATCATCAACCTGGAAGCTTGACAGTAAGGATTAAAAATTGCTCCTCGCTTCCCACTTGGTTATTGGAAAGGTTCTGAAAGGTAATCAATCAGTCTTGTGAAGCTACACTTTACAGTCTGCATAAAATGCCATTTCCCTTCCTCTCCCCAACCTAATTGAAAGTGCATAATATCACCCAGCTGGGGAAATGTGTAAACGGTAAACATACGCGATATATCATGCTACCACACAAAAGCTGGCTACTGCTAGGGTCCCGGTGGTCGTCGGAACCCTAGGGGACCTGGAAAATGAGTCTTTTTCTTTCATCTAGCATGAGCGCTTCTTGCACCATCCTCTTCCTTTTCTCCCTACAGATTTCAAACAGCAGCAGTCAAAATTAGAGCAAGTTCTATCAACTCATTCCTGGTCTGAGGGACTCCAAGGTCACATGATGATGCATACAGACTGAAGCTCTTTTAGGACATCCTTTCCCTGACAGGACATTCTTCTTTGGGCAAGAGGTGCAGTTGGAATCATCTTGCTCCTTACTTGCTCCAGACAGACGTTCTCAATATCCTCTTTCCCTTGCTCCTAAATCTACAGGTCACATCCTATCTTTTGCTGCTTCATCAAACTCCTAGGACCAAGATTATCTCATTTTCCACATCTGCCAGGCAGTTTAGTTTTCCTCGATTAGAAAATCCCAATCTTATTTTTCAAAGTCTCCTGCACTATGGTAGCTATCTATAATCCCACTCCAATTATGCCTGCTTGGAAGCCATTTTCCCTTGTCTGACTCCTCACCTCCATGTTTCACGCCATCTTCTGACAATAGGGCTCTTAGGACAAAAGACAGTATGCCTTCAATGTCTTCATCATTAGTTCTCTGCCACTGTACTCCTGCAAGGATTGTTCCCAGCTGTACCATGACTGCTGCTACCATTCATTCATGCCAACTTATAGCTAGTTATTGCTTTCTTTTTGATGACTGATACCATAATGGTAGGTCAAAGTGGAACACTTGTCTAGGGCACCATGTCATTTTAGTTTTAATAGATTGAAGGATATGCTTTTATTTGCTTCAGCGGTAGGGATGATTTGAGACTTAAAACTGAGTTAAAACTGCAACCATCTTTCATAGCATTACCTGTCAGCCAGGGCTGGAGGATGATACGGCTTGTTGACCTTGGCATAGAGACCCTCTAAGTGGTCTCTGTCTGGAGACAGCGGACGCCCATCCCGAGGGTAAGCCAGTGGTCCAGCTCGGGGGGGAGACGGAGATCTAAAGACGTTGGCTGATGTGCAGGGCTCCCGAAAGTGGTTCACTCTGGCATAATTGGGGTCCATTTCATCATCGTCCATGTCATGCACTGGTCCAGTGGCTCCAGCAGCATAATCGACAAGAACTCCTGCCTGCTTTTCCCTTAGCTCCTGGTGTTTGCCTCCAATCCTGAAAAATAGAGAAGAGAGAGGTGGCACAGGAGAATGTGACTTTCAGATGCTAATACAACGGAACAGTCTCCCATATCTCTGTTAACTCTTGCTAACCTCTCAGCTGTCACCTTCCTGTGTCTTCAAGATTACACCAGGCAGAAATGTCAAAAGCATAAGAGGATTAATTCTAAATCCATGACCTTTATTTGTCAGTCTTCACTTTGATAGCAATGCTATAGGTACCCTGACACCTCTCTAACTGACGAGGGGCACCGTGCTCTAGGTACCCTGAGACATCTCTGACTGATGAGGGGTGCCATGCTCTAGGTATATGGAGACATCTGTGACTGATGAGGGGCTGACAGTAGTCCCTCCCTATAAAGGAGCTGTGCTTATAGCAACCGTCCGCCTTGGAAGAGGCGCGGTGAAAGTCTTTCTTGGGACAAGACTGCGTGGGAAAGAGCCCATCAGAATCCTACACTTTTGCTATGACATCACTCCAGAGTTTCAGTGTATTCTTCTGAAGAAGAGTTTGAAAACATTGATTTAAATATGAAAAAGAAATACAGGGACTGTCTGGTCACTAAAAGCAGCAGAACTGAAGGTAATTTATAAGAGATTCCACCTTTTTTTCTTTTTACACAAATGGGGATCATTGTGCCTCATTGTGCAAGGGCTAGGGACAGAGTAAAATAATGAAGAAATTAATAGGCTTGTGACAGAGATGAATTGGCACATCTAAGTAAATTAAACTTCATTGCTGGCAGAACTCCATAGCCCTGAAGCTTTAAGTGCTAGCTCAGAAAGTTACTGGTAGCCAGTGGCAGTATGAAGAGACTGAGGACGGAGCAGAACATGTATTTAGGTGGGTTCTATACCCACCTGAACTGCAAGAACGAATCCAGATGGCATTAGACTAGTGTACTGAGATGGGAAGCTCACTCAGATGTCCTCAACACCCGTGATGTGGATGGTGTTTAGAGGACCTTTTACCTTTCACCCTTGAGAAAAGAAGATGTAGGATCTATGAGATGCAAGAGTAAAATGATCCTGTCTTGAACATCTAAAGAGATGTTCAAGGAAAGATGGGGACAAAATTGAAATCCATACATAACTCAGAGGCGGTAAGAGGCTACGGCTAGCGGTGAAAGGTCTATGTTTGCCTGGAGACACAGACAGAAGCCCTGGACCAGCTATAAACAGATCCCGAAGTCCCCAGCAACTTCTCTTCAAACAAATACAGTTGTTTCTGTATGTAGCAGCTATTTTCATTTTCCAGACATCAAACCCTTTGTTGAAATCGTTAGAAGGCATGGTCTTTCAAAGTATTTTTTTTTTCTTGAGAGAAGACAGTATTTGTATTTTAGTTTTTTTGGTTTTTTTTTTAATCTCAGGAGAATGGAGAAGAAATTGGGCAAGAGAAAGAAGCAACAAAATAAAACAGTTAGAAAGAAGCACAGGAAAGAAAAACAGCACCTAGCTCAGGGTCACAACAGATGAAAAGAAATGCCAGGATATAATATTGCATACCTGTTTTGATTAAGCTAAAAACATACCTGACATATAAATAATTGGAAGGATTTGTATTTTTTCATAAGGCATTTTGTATCTCTAAGGAATTCTGAATTAAGATGAAAAGATTACACAGTAGGGTGCTCATTAAAGTGCTTTTCCTGTCCCCTTTCAATGCATGTGTGTCCCAGATTCATGGATGTTTGTTTTGAAAAATTTTTTATAAAGAAGACAGTCTGCTCCAATGAAATTTGAGTTTCAGCCTAAAGTGAGCATTATACAAAGATTTACCATTTTCCAAGGAATGGTGCAGGCTGGTTTATCAGAGAATGCTTCCCGTACTACAATGATAGGGATGGATGTCCATTGTAAAGAAGGTAAAAAGACACCAGGAAAGTCCTAGGGTGTGATTCTGTGTGTTCCCTCTCTCTCATAACTGCGATGCCTTGAGAGAAATCGTCAGTAGAAAGGTAAATACCTCCTGGCCGCCGCATGGGCTACACTTGTGGATTAATGGAATACGAAAATGCCAAGCCTGATTTTTCTAAAATAGCAGAGATAGGACACCAGGATCTGAGTTCCTTATTTCATGTCTCTCTTTCTTTGAGGTTTTCAAATTAGTTAAGCTTCCTAAGTATGTAGAGACTCATAGATAAAAAGGTTCTCCATGTCTGACATGGGATCTTGTATTTTTCTCTGTTTCTAGTTGTTTCTATTTGGGAGTCTCCTGACCACTGGAAACTCAACCTGTTAACATCCTCAAATTTCAGAATCACCTAGCAATCTTTTCATTTCATGGTGCCACTCACTCCCCATTGTCCTGAGTACACTAACTCTGAATGATTGAAACATCTTTTTTCCCTCGTTGAAGGCAGTTTACCTCCTTCCCATTATATTTCTTGATTATCCCTTTTAATTTCCATTTCCTTGGCAATAGTGTGTAGTGTTCATGTTTTATATTGCCTAGATCTGCTGTGTGTGGCCCTATAAATTTAAACTTGCATTAATTAAAATAAAATAAAACTTTTTTAGTCTTATAAATTCATTCAAGTGATTATTAGATAGATATAGTCAGTGGCTGCAGAACTGACAATGAAGATGTGGACAAATTCCACAACTGCAGGAAGTTTTATTGGACTATGGCAGTCTGATTTATTCAAAGAGATGTTGGTACGTCGCCATATCCCACTTGTATTAGTTAGGGTTTCTACTGCTGTGATCAAACACCATGACCCAAAGCAATACGGGGAAGACTGGTTTTACTTTGTTTTGTTTATTCCATTGCATAGCTTATAGTCCATCATCTAGGGAAGCCAAGGCAGGGACCTGCAGGCAGGAACTGAAGCAGAGGCCATGGGGTGGGGGGGAGTGTTGTTTACTGGCTAGCTCCTCATAGCTTGTTCATTTGCTTTCTTATTTACCGGATTACTAGCCCCACAGTGATCTGAACCATTCCGGATCAAACAGCATTTAAGAAAATGGAGCACAGGCCTACCCACAGGCCACCTGTCGGGGCATTTTCTTAATTTAGGTTTCCTCTTCCAAAATGACTCTAGCTTTGGTCAAGTTGGCATAAGAGTAGCCAGCACACCACTTTAATCTGTTCCTGAGAAGGCTGCGCTAACGGTTCCCTAAAGGAGCATGTCCACTGCATTCTCAGTCAGATTGGGGATCTCCAGTGGATTGCAGACGACTGAGAGACAGCATGCCTAGCTCACGATTCCCCAAAACATCACATGGCCGAACAGTGGGGAAGAACATGAATCCCTAACGGAGTGAAAAGTGGCTACAGTGCCATGCTTTACATTAAAATTGAGACTAAAAGAGGGGTGATGCCAAGAGCTACTACATGTTCATAGTTTTAGCCAGGCACATATTTCCCTGAAGTAAGGAAGAAAGTCTGCAGGAACATAGTCAGCGTGACTTTACTAAGTAAAAGAGAGTCTGAGGATAGGGAAGGGCCTAGAACTGTGTTTACGTGTGGACCCAACTTCAAATTGGGGTTAATGGATTGGGAGAGCTGACTGCCCTGAGAGTAGTCTCCTGTCTACGAGGAAACTTCAAGGAGACAAAGTAGGGAGAAAAAGAAGCAGTAAGGAGGGTGAAGAGGTGAAGGAAAGTCTAGACTCGTCAAACTAAACGAAGCACTGGGACAAGCTTGTGTAGGAGCAGGACAATTGACAAATCCAAGATCACAGAACATAAACTCCCAGGACAGTAACACAGCAAAGTGGGGAAGGGAATTATCTCAGGAAAACACGTATAATTGAAGTGACTGGTAACCTTAAATTACTATTCTTGTGTCACTCAAAATGATGTTTTAGCATACACTCTAATTTAAATCTCAAACATTTGTAGGGTATGAAATACATTTAATTAGTCACAGACATATTTATTTCAGCAAAGATCCACCCCTGAAAGGTTTTAGGACCTTCCGAAGGACTGTCACTAGCACGAGATCACTGTCCCAATTTAACGTTATTCCTTTTCTACAGGGAAGTGAGAAGCCAGCGGAGGTAACCATACAGGAAGATGTGATATTTGTAAATTACACACTGACATTCCTGCATGGAACTGCTTGGCAGGATATAGGGGAAAGTCATAATGTGGTTGCTTCTAGAAATGCATCTTAATGCAACGTTGTATATTACGTGTTTTTGAATTTTTATATGTATTTAAGGTAAGTGTCTTGGTTATGACAAATTATTGTTCCTTCAGCTCAACTCCTTCTACTAAGAGTACTCAACTTCCATTAGTAAAAGATCTCTCTTTAATCTTTACAGAAGACAGAGTTTGTCAGTTATAGTCTCATAGTGGCCTCACTGCTTTGTCTTCGCTACACCATGTAGCTTCAGTAAACTCTGCATTTGTCAGAAATACACCGCTATAAAGTTCTTTAATCCATTGATTTCCATGGAAATTTCTGTGTGTTTGTTTCATTTCAATAAAAGTTGAAAATTACAAATGGGAACAAATGCAATAGCATTTTTCAGGCCCAATTTCGTAGGCATCGAACACATTTGTATTATATAAGCCTTGTAAAGTTTGCTCACAACGGTCACTAAATGGCTTCCTTTTGGAGAGGGGGGTGGGTGGATTACACAAACCAGTGTGCTTCCATGTGTTGTGTGTATACACTAGCATGCCCTTTGTTCTGACTGGAGGACATCCCCCATTTCCACATGTTGGACTAAGACTATAAAAACAAAGCAGAACCAACACCTTTTATTGATTCACTCTCGATGTTCTGAGCCTAATGGGACTACAAACTTCTTCAGTGTGTCTTGTGAGCTTTTCTGCTAATTTTTTGGCTGTTTATGCATTCAGTATCTGCTGCAATTACACTGCGTATTAGGAAGAAGAATAGAGCCATACTTGGTCCCTGGTTCATCTACAGGAGAGACATAAGTATAAGGGATTACAATCCAGTGGCAAAGAAAGCAGTAATGGTCCGTCATGCATGGCCATGTGGCCTGGGTGTGGAAGGAACTTGTCATCTTGATA